AAAAAAAAAAAAAAGTTTGAAATTCTACTTTAATAAAAATTTTGCCACCTTTGTAATCTAGGAGCAAGTTACTTACATAAAGTTTTATTTTGTTCATCCATAAAACTGAGATAATCAGCACCCATTCTATAGAGTGTTATAAAAATTAAATGAAACATAAATTGAGTACTTTATGAATGGTAATGAGTGCAAATCTTAACTCATATGTGCAGAAATACTAAAATTCCTTATTGTATTCACCTACAGAGCTCAAGGCTCAGGGCATCTCCTCTCTCTGAGTCGCCTATCCCCTGCCAGGACACATAAGGGTATCAGAGAGCACATCTTGGCACCTTGTAGTGCCAATATTTTACCTTTAAGGCCTGCAAAAAAGTAGCTAGTTCATGTAGTTCAGACTAATAAACTACTCAATAGATTCAGCTTATCTTTTTAAGTCTAGGAGCACAACTGACTTCAATCTATTTGTGTTTTTCAAATAGCAAATTTCCCTGAGGCAAGTAAACAGAAATACACTTTATTCTAGGGCAAAGCAAAATAGAAAGAAATATTTCTTTGAAGTATCTTGCACATTTTATATGGTAGTAACAATAAGTGATAACAATACTCATTATTTTATTGTAACTAGTCCTCATATCCAACACCCTTTCTCCATCTGCATTGTCTTTTCATGAAACACAGGGCCTTAGATTATTCATGCTGTTTTGATTGTCTAGCTTCTTCTCTTACCTCCGTCACACCAGCCACACTTCAGCCATACTACCAGTCTAACATCAGCTACCTGTCTCCTCTCACCATTACGCCAATCTTCTGTCATCCTTGGAACCACATTCTTGCCAGGGAGACTGATAAACTTATGGCTTTAAGATTTAGTGAGGCATGATCTTCTCTGTGACTTCTCTGTGTCCCCTGAAAAGATTTAAGATGTCCTCTATATTTCTATAGTACTTTAACACTTTAAGATTTAAGATGATTAAATAATTTATCATCCAAATGGGGACACTTTTAAGAGGGAAAGAGGATGACACTAATAATTACACCAGAGCATCAAATGTGAAACAGGATTGCCCCAAGAAAACCAGAGTGTATGGTCACCCCACTTATCCTTAGATTTCAATAGTAATTGTTTTTGTTCGCCATTCCCTCCCCCCCACACATAAACACATGCACACACAGTCAGTGAATTCTTGAATGGTGGGTGTAGGCCCCAGCATCTAGTACAATGATGGCTGACAGGGTTGAGTGATTGATTGTCAGCATTTGTTTTAGAACAATGTCAGCATTTGTTTTAGAGCAGAACATTCTAGACTAGTGAGATGGTTTAGACAAAAAAAAAAAAAAGGTGGAAGGGGAATATAAGAAAGCAAGCAGTCAAATCTAGGTAGAATGATGGAGATTAGGATGTATCATGGAAAAAGATTCCAGAAACTTGATTATCAGATTAAGGAATTTCTAAAAAAGTGGAAATATTTACACTGAAAACATGAGATTTCATAGTCATACATAAGCTGAGCTAGAAGGAAAAGGAGAGGGACAATTTGCGTAAAAATAATTGAAACTGGGCCCTCCCTGGTGGCACAGTGGGTTAAAGCACAATACTGGGAAGCTAAAGCCACTTCAGCATGAGTTTGATTCCGGCCAGTCCCGGAGGAGAAAACATGGCGCTGCAGATCTCTCCTGACCCGCCCGCTGCTCCCCTCAGCAATGTACTTGGTCGATCTGCCTGTTCTGCTCCCCACTCTGTCTCTGGTAAATCCTCTCACCGCCCCTGCACCTCTGGCCTGTACCACCCCCCCCCCCAGTTCTGTATGTATAAATAAATAAATCTTTAAAATAAATAGATAAATAATTGAAACTATGAATGCCTGGGGTAGCACTGTTTGTTATTTAACTTGTTATTTAACGTTTTATAGTTGACAAAAAAAAAAAAACTTTTAAATTGTAAAGACAGAAACCCAAATGAGCCTGGTTTAACAAAATGGACATTTATCCGCCCAGCTAACAAATACCCAGGTACTACTGGATCCAGTTCTCAGGTAGTGCCATACCATCATGAGGAAACTAGGTTCTTTGCCTTACCATATCTTACTAAGTCTCGGTCAAGTTCTTCCCAAAATGGCTGTCAGTAACTTATAGTCTATTTCCAACAGGGAAAGAGAGCACCATGTTATCAATAGTTCTAGTAAAACTCCTGAAAAAAAACCTCCCTATTGATAGAGAATATCATGTTCTAACTGCCAAATAGTCTGTGTTTGTTAGGGAAAGGGCTAAAAGGACCGGATAATTTACTGGAGGAAAACTAACTCATTTAAAACAGAGAACATAGATATTAAGATGGTGAAAGGAAACAGATTTCCTCTGCTATTTCTTAGTTTGCAATAGTATTAAGCTCTAGGACATGAAAATCAACTAAAGTTATCAAGAGGAAACATAAGTTTTATGCTTCCAAATGTGAAAAAAGAAAGAAATGTACTCATTTTAAAATAATCTAGATTACAATTATTAAAGATTTTTAAAATATGAGAGAAGATATGAGAGTCATCATTATCTTTAAATCGAGACATTATACATTTTAATATTGGGCATATCATACTAATTATGAAAAAAATAGAAAGTATTGTTTTACCTTTTTTCATCAAATCTAGAGATGCAATATTCTGGAAACTGATTACGCATCTTTGAGCAAGTTGTAATAGAGCCAGAGGAGGACTGTGCTGAAAAGATAAAAATGATTCCATCTTTTTGGAAAATTTTGATATTATTTTATTTGAGAAACCAATTGATAAATCTCTTCATTGTGAATGATATGGCCTGTAGGTTTAAGGGGCTTTATAAATGTATTTGTTGAACTGATACCATAATTCTAAGAATACTACAAGAGTTTTCCATGCGATTTATGTTCTGAAGCCTATACATTATATTCAGAACATGGGATTCCAAAGAAAAGTACAAAGATTCAACTACCTTTAAATAGATTTTAAATAACAAGAGTATGTGTAAAATAATACCAACTGGTATTCAAGTTAAATGGATATTTATTCATTTATGTATATTTAGATATAACACAAATTGGATTGCACCAAATATATGACTATTACTGGCAAGATTTAATTTGAAATTTTTTTTTATAATTTCAGAATGAATGTCTATTACTTTTAAGTGAGAAAAGAAATGAAAAAGTTTCTTTGAGGGAAAAAAATTTAACATAATAGGAAAGTAGCTTTGCCTTTTGAAGTGAGGTCATTGTGGGCTTTCTCTTAGTTTTCTCTCCACAAACATCCATCTCAGAAACTATACTGCGCTTAGAAGGATGATTGGTCTGAAAGAATAGGGGCATTTCTTCTCTTATGTAAATACTAACCTAGTAGATTTTAACAGAATTAAGCTAGGGTAAGTAATAAGAATTTAATGGCAGTCATTGATAACCCACTTGGATCATTTTTGTTTTCAAGAAAGCCTCTGCCAAGGACAAGTTTCTGATACAGAAGATAATCTGAACCAAGGATCCAGCTTGATAGAAGCCATATTTAAAGTGCTGTACCATTGCAACTTTTCTCCACAAACATTTGGAAATGTTTTTGTGAGCTATATGGAAGATGAACAATTATGGGACTTTTTATATAACATTCCAGGTATAAGAAATTTACTATTTATAAAGTGCTTATAGATACTTAAATATATCTTTAAGTGTGCTTTAAAAGTTTTATTTTGATGTCAGTTTTGCTGAGTCTGTTATTTGTACAAGTTTATCCTTTTTTTTTTTCAGTATAAAGGTTGCTTCTGGAAATCAGTAACCATAAGCATAATTCTAAGAATACTATAAATAAGTATTCTTATCCAAATTCAATATACTTGGGAGCAGGTGAGAAGGAGGTTGAGGGAAAAATTACATAATGCAGTCTTTCTTTGTTATTAGGAAGTTTTCGCACATGAAAATTTAATATTTACTATAGATTATGTTTTGCTATTGACTATTTAAGACATTAATAAGATATGAAAAAGTGTTTTGTGGTTCTTGGGTGCATTTAATCAACAGACTCATGGTCAAAACTACCAATCAACTTTTTGCAAACATTTAAAATATTTATTGTTAGGACCAGGGCACCTTTCGCTTGCAAAGCAAATATGTTGTACTACTCCTTGGGGATAATATGTTTTCCTCATCTGTGTTGCTTTCTGCAGATAAGAGCAGATGTTAAGGAGAATAAGTTGCTTACCTGTATAGGAAATATTCATAGGTTTTTGCACCTTCAGGGCCACATATAAAAATTCTTTCATTGTTTTATTCTTATATCCTGGCTTTACATCTCCATACTTAATATTTGGGAAAAACAAAGTATGAGAATTTAGACAATAGTTATCCTGTTAGCCCATTAACCATTATATCCTTTACATTTGGCTTTCAACCTGTAAGTTTTCTTATGCATTGTTTTAAAGCAAACATTTTCATAAATTTGTCTCTAGGATTCACCATAAAAAGTCTAACTGGCTCATTGATATGGTTTCTTTCTTTCTGGACTTTGACTATCCTCCACACATTTGAATATTTTTACTTTAAATTCATTATATTACATCTTCTCTTAGTCACTAGCCCTGTAAAATAGCAATAGATAACTTCATGAATTGGTTTTAAAATCTAAATCTATCACTTATAAGACTCTGTGATAATTATCTCCTTTTAAGGTTTTATTTCCTTGTTTCCATGTCTTCCCTCATTGCTTCTCTTTTTACCAAAAGTAGGGGCAGTTTTCTAGTTAAAAGACTGAATTACTTTTGATGTAGACTTTTCAAAATGAAAGAGAAACAACCTTGAAAACCTCTCCACTCCCCTGTTATTTTTAGTTGTTTCTGGTGAAGTTAAGTGTCACATTTTCCCTCACTATGATAAAGAATTGGTGACCTATATGCGTCAACCCTTCCTTACCCTTTAACTCTTAAGTCTTGAGCTATCATGACAGTACAAAACTGTACTAAAAATTATTTAGATGATATTAATAAGATATAGCATAAAGAAGATAAAAACTTTAGGTGCTGGCATGAGAAAGCAAGCTTGCTTCTTGCTACTAATTAGTCCTCTCTGTCTACACATTGAGCAAACCCTTCATTTCAAGGTCAGACAAATGTATTATAAATATTCAAAGAAATCAAATTGTGTGGGAAGTCCAATAGGACAGAAGTTGATAACGGTGAACTTGTCTCTGTGCAAATCATTATTCTTGGGAAACTGAATATTTTCTAGAACCTGAGATCTTGCAATAGTCATAAGGGACTATGACTTATCATAAAGACTTATCTAAGTCTTTGCAAACATTTTCATCCTCAGTTGTCACCAGTCATGATTATCTTAAAAACTGTAATAAGATTATAAAATATACTAACTTGTAGCAAAATTATTAAGCCTTTTATATTTTCTGTTTAGCATGAAAATTTAACAGGTTTAAAGGAAATACAACTGAGACACATAATCATCATCTCACAATATTTGTATTTTACCACTTCAGTAAATTAACCAGTAATTAACCCAGTCAGATCAACTTGAATACATTATTTAAAAGGTAATCAGCTTTCTTCCTCCTGAAACAGGAAAGAACTATTGCAATAAATATAGGAGTGTATATATCCCTCGACGTAGTGTTTTACTATTCTTCAGAAAGATACCTAGAGTGAGATTACTGGATCATATGTGAAATATGGTTTTAATGTTTTGAGAAACCTCCATATTGATTTTCATAGGACTGGACAAGTCTCCGTTCTTGCCAACAGAGGTTATGTATGAAGTTATTTCTCCCCACAACCCTGCCGTACTTGATTGTGGTCTTTCTTGTAGAAGCCATCTTCACAGGTGTGAGGTGGTAACTCATTGTGGTTTAATTTGCTCTTTTTTTTCTGATGACAAATGATGTACATGTTTTCATATCCCAGTTGTAGATCTTCTTTAGAAAAGTGTCTATTTAGCTCTTCTACCTATTATTTGATTAGGCTGTTTTCTTGTTGAGTTGTATGAGTTCATCATAGACCTTGGATATTAGTCCCTGGTATATATGCTATTATTATCTTCTACTGAGAAACGTGTGTATTAATTTCTATAATAGTTTTTCCCCACTGTCCAGAATTTTCTTGTCTCCAAAGACATTCCTGAAGCCAGCGTCTCAAAGAGTGTCTTGCTAATGTTTTTGTATCTTATTGTTTCTGGTCTTGCATCCAAGTCTTTAATCCACTTGAGTTAATTTTTGTGTATAGTGTAATGTATTGAGGCAGTAGCCTAGTTTCATTCTTTTACATGTTACTTTTCAATTTTCCCAACACCATTTGATAAAGAGACTTTCCTTTCTCTATTATATGCTCTTGAGTATTTTGTCATAGATTAACTGTCCATATAAATATGTGTTTATTGCCTTGTTTTCACTCTATTCCATTTATCTGTGTGTCCATATTTATTCCAACACGTTACTGTTTTGGAAACTGTAGCTTTGTTGTGTAACTTGAAGATGGGGAGTGTGATACCTCCATTCTTCTCATTTGTCTTTCAGGGTCTCTTCTGGTCCATATAAATTTCAGTCATGTTTGCAATATTTCTTTGAAGAATGCCATTGAAACTTTGAGAGGGATTGCATAAATCTGTATATTTGTTTGGGTAACATAGTCTTTTTAATTGTGCATATCTTCCCTTCTTTTTTTTTTTTTTGTATCCTCCATTTCTTGTGCTACAATTCTATTGTATAGGTCTTTCACTTCTGTTCTTAAATTTGTTCCATTTAATTCTTTTTATGCAATTATACATGAGGTTGTTGGTTTGATAGTATGTTGGTTTTGTATAGAAGCAAAGAGGTTTACTTACTTTGTTAAATTTATTCCTCTTTAATTCTTTCTATGCAATTGTATATACAGTCATTTGCTTGATTTCTTCTTGTTTGTTGGTTGTATATAAAAGTACAACAGATTTTTGTATATAGGTTTTGTAGCCTGCTATTTCATTGTATTGATTTATCATTGCTAATAGTTTTTTAGTAATGTCTTTAGGGTTTTCTATACCAATTATCATGCCATCTTCAAATAATGGTAGATTTTTTTTTTAAGATTTATTTATTTATTTGTACAGAACTGGGGTACAGGTCAGAGATGCGGAGGGTGAGAGGATTCATCTGAGACAGAGTGGAGAGCAGAACAGGCAGATCGTCGAAGTACACTGCTGAGGGGAGCAGCAGGCAGGGATCCAACTCATGCGGAAGTGGCTTCAGCTTCTGAGTGCTGTGCTTTAATCCGCTGCGCCACCAGGGAGGGCCCAATGGTAGATTTTTAATGGCTTATTAGGTATATCTCTTTATTGTGCCCTAGTTTGTGGGAGCATTGCATTGATTGGGGGAAATAGAAGTCTTTCCAACTCACTGGTTTTCCAATCACTACCATTATTATCTCAGACCACTGAAAGTAGAAATAAATCTTAATGTAAAACCAAACTTCATTGGATAAGCATAGGGGAAAACCAGGACCCTCCCTGGTGGCACAGTGGGTTAAAGCTCAGTATTAAGAAGCTAAAGCCACTTCAGCATGAGTTTGATTCCCACCCCAGAGGTGATCCACATGGTGCAGCAGACCTTCCCTGACCGGCCCACTGCTGTATTTTGTTGATCTGCCTGTTCTTCTCCCCACTCTGTCTCTCGTAATCTTCTCTCTGCCCCTATACCTCTGGCCTGTACCCCAGTTCTCACAAATAAATAAATCTTTAAAAAAAAAATGAAGGGGAAAACCTTTGTAATTATTATGACTTTCAGATTACTCTCAAAATAATTATGCTGAATAAAAGAAGTTAGACAGAAAAAAGAGTTCACATTATCAATATGTCATTTCATAAAGAGAAAATACTAGAAAATAATAACTAACAGAGAAAAGAATAAGGAAAGGAAGAGAAAATACCATCACTCATTGATAATCTCCATTAATATTATCCGTGCATCTTTTAATTCTTTTAGAAGTGTAAGTAGAGATGTATTTGTAATAAAAACAGAATGTCATACTCTTTACTCTCTCTCTTTTTTTTATAAATCAGTATATGGCTTTATTGCATTAAAAGATAAACCTGAGCTAATTTAACAAGTCATCAATTATTGAACATTTAGATTACTTCCAGTTTTTCTTTTTATCCTTTATATATTTATCATTAATTTCTCAGAATAAAGTCCTAGAAAATGAGCAAGCCGACAGGTAAATAAAGTGTGGTGACCTTTAATGTCATTGCCAGGTTGTTACCTAAGAAGTTTCTACAATTTCTATTTCCACCATGAGAGTACCAAACCACCAGCAAGTGTTGTTGTTGACTATTATTTTAATTGCTTTCTTTTAGTACCATGAAGAATAAACTTTTTCAATTGTTTATTGATTGTCAGATTTGAAACTGCTGTCCTTTTTTATAGCTTTAAATTAGATTATTGAGAAACTGGATTGCCAATATAACATGGCATGGACTATTCCTAGATTCTGCTAACCATAATATGCTGTCTGATTTTAAAGTCACAACATGCATGGAGTCTGAGCTGGAGGTCATCCGATGCTTAAGATTGGTACTAACTGACGCCGTCAAGGACATTGTACAGCACATAATATCTCTGATGGGCTCTGGGAGAAGTTGTGAAACAAACCTAAGCAAGCACAATATCCCTGAATGTTTGCTTGAAAGCATCCCAAAAGAATGGAATTATATTCCAAAAGAAGCTAAAAGGAAAGACTCAAGCAAAGGTATCTTTATTTCTCTTGAAGAATACATCCCTAAAGAAGCAATTTCCTAGAATATGGGCTTAAGTAAAATTCTATAAATAAGATTTGTAAATTATATGAATCTTCTTTCCATCAATGATATTTGACACCTGTACGTTTCTTTTCTATGAGTCATATGCCTAGGAAAACTAGAAATGAAAAATATTCAATCAATCATTTTTAAAACTATTATTTATTGCAGTAATAATAGTTTTGTAAGCCAACATTATTTCCAGTTTTTCTTTACAATATGTAATATGATTAAGGGGAATAGATTCACACCCCCTCAGGTCTATGTTACAACACACCCATCTTCGAGTACTCACAATCTTGCACCATAGCCCATCCCCTATCCTTCCTCCCCCCCACTCCCTTTGTTCTTCCCACACACATACATAGCTGCAAATCTATGGTCAGGTTTCTTCTAGTTTGTCTCTTCCTTTTATTTATTTATATCCATGTGTAAGTGAAATTGTGCAGTATTCATCTTCCTCCTGCATATCTCCTTCTCCTTGCTACTAATTCAGAATTTTCCATGAGGTTTTCTATTCATGTTAATAGTCACTGAGTAGTGATATGATTTTGACTAAAATTTTTGTTTATAATCTATTAAGTAATCTAAAATTCATATTCTCAAGAATATTGCTGATATACAGTTTAATTCTTTGAGTTTTTTGCCCCTTGCAGCCACCACTTGTTACTTTCTTTTCCTCTACTAACATCACTACATGTGTTGATTTTAGGTCAAAAATAGCACCCCACATAGTAACAATACATTTTTTCCTCCAAAACCTTTGGTACTGAATTCAGTGCTTTATTCCTATTTGGAGCATTTCTTCAACTAGTGTATTTAAGAACCATCCATTATCACATTTTTTCATTTATTTTATTCATCAAGTCCTCTCCTCATAAATGATTTTTTTTCCTACCTAGATATTTCTACTTCCAAGAATTTCACAAGATTACTTTGAATGTATGTTATCTGTCAGTATGTATTCATGAATCTTCTTTAGATTTTAAAATAGAACTTTTGCCTTTTATATTCAACTTTAAAGAATATTTTTTCACTAACACTAAGGAAACTTTCAACATTAAAATACTCCATCTAACCCCACTAAAGAACAGTTGAAAGGGCTAGCCTTTCATTCTTCTCCATGGAGATCCTAAATAATGTGACTCTTATCCAGAGACCTTATCTTACAAACTCAAATCAATTATCTATCTGTGACCTTTCATAGTAATACTTTAATTCTGTCCAAGCCCTATTAAACTGCCTTTGAATCTAGTAAAGTCATTTAATTGAAATTGGAAAATGTCAGCTTTTCATTACTTAAGTTCTTCTTGTCTGAATTGTTGCCATCTCTCCTTCATTCTAGTTTTCAGCTATTTCATAGATTTTTAACAGTTTGGTAGGCATGATCTGTGGTCAGCATATCATGAAATATGATTAACACTGTTTTGCTTTTCACTTTCAAGTTCTTTTATTCATGAAAAATTGTACTTTCTCATAAGCATTTTGAAGTTTTTCCATAACATTTCTAAGAGCCTCTGATTCCAAGAAGTGCTGACTTTCTAGATACCATTTCTTGGGGTTTTGCTTATAAAATTATCATTGAAAGTAGAAGTACAGCATGTAGACAGCTACGAAGGATTGTTAAATCACATAAATACCTAAAAGAAAGTGGTGAGGGAAAGTGACTTTATAAAATATTCTGTGCAGTCCACATTTTTATGACAATAGATTATCATTGCTCATTTTTCCTTCTGAAATGCTAAAGGAACTTTTATACTAACAGTATTCAACCTTTATTTTCAATACAGTGTATAAGATAGGTATTTTTTACATGCCAAGTATTGTCACTTATTAATTGTAGAAATATTAATTAAAAGAGATAATACTGCATGCGAAGCACAGGGTTTAAGGCTAGAGATAAACATAAATAAGATACTTTTCCTTGGTACCAACAGTCTAGTAGAACTTCCAAAATGGGTGTCAGCAACTCAGGGAATAAATAAGACCATATTTCAGATTGTGAGAGGAAAAATGGATCAGACTGTATTAAAACTTCACAAGGAGATCGTCACTAGAACTCCACTGGTGTGAAGGTGAGCCAGTTACATGATGGGGACAACATTGTAGGGATGAGTGGGGTAAGCTCTACTTTGTTAGCTTTCAGTATTCCCGTAATAAATTAGGTTGTTCTTTGCACTACAGAACCTAATTTTAGCAAAATTAATCCTCGTAAAGCATCCAAGTGACTTTAGCATTACCTTTCATCAACAAATCAACGATAGTTTCAAGCTAATGTCTGGGATGTAAAAAAGAACAAAGGCAATGTGAAAAAGTGCTATTCTTAACATGAGTTCTTTCTCGGCCATTATTGTGAATTAAAATATTTATGATGTAATCAATTTTGGTCAAAAAAAGAATACAAAAGGAAATTTGTGGGCAAACCACTTGAAATATGGTTTCATACATTAATGTTAAACATGAATTCCTCCTAAGTATCATGTCTTGCTTGAGCTGGTGCATTAGCTCAAGACTGTCTGAAATTATCTCAGTTAGCATAAGATTTTAAAGCTAAGCATACATATGTACAAACAGATCATTGTAATAATTATAGCAATGTTTTCAGTCAAATTTAGTATTGAACAATTTGTTTAGATAATAGTAAATGTTTGAGATCTTTTCTGAGAATTCTAGTTTCCTATAAGACAGTCAGACACAAGCTTAATAGAACATCCTTCCAGACACAGTGAAAACACAATATGGAAAATACTATGGTGACAAATCAAAATGCATTTCTTTGTTTCTTTATCAGAAAATATTTAAAGAAGTAAATACTTCAAGTTATATGACTTAGGTGATGCATCTACATGTGAACAAAGTTCAGATGTTTGTGATGGAGCTTAGCATGTATATCTACTCCCCTATGTTTCCAAAAGCAAATAGAAAAAGAACTGGTTGTTTGGTTCCTTTAACAACTAAAGCTATGCCAGAGAGTATGTGTTCTTAGCAGTGAATTCCTCCTTAAATAAAAAAGAATGTTTTGTGGGAAAACTGTTCAGTTAATTGTTTTAACTGAAACAATGGTTTATAGAGAGCAAACAAAAGTCACACCACAAGGAAAATGTATTTGTGACACTGTTCACATGCAAATTGTTAAGAAATGGATGGCAGAAGCACACAAAGCGCTGTCAGCTGTCATTAAGATGGTTTGCTTTATAAAAATCATAAATATTAGTTTTATGAAAATAAGTGTTGCCTAAAGAAATATCAGACCTATATACTTAAGAGCATAAAAATAGGGCTTTCAAACATGATTTAAAATATTACAAATAAGAATACAATTACAAAAAATCAAAAAACAAGTTTTGCATTTCTTAGGAATGCAAAACAGAAATATTTTTCAATTTGTTTGCAAGATCATATAATTGACATGAATGATGAATATTTATTAGTGAAATTTTAAGAACAGCCTTTGCTTTGTGATGGCTGAGATTGGAAACAAGTGCATGATTGCACAAGCACAGTTGATTCCTTGTGAATCAATGTATGTTCGTGTATCTGCTTTTTCACCTATGGTAGCCATTAAAACTAAGCATTGAAACAACTTGGAACCTGACCTTTGAACTGTATCACAAAGTGCTAAGCCCAGATTTTTAAAAGAATTAACATAGTAGATTACTTATCCTCATGCAATAAATTATTATTGACATTTAATGCCATTAAATAAATAATAAAATTCTAAAAATTAATTTTAGCTGCTATTTTGCCTTTACCTCATTCATTATAAATCTTCTTTTTTGCATGTTATTCAATCCATGAAATTTATTATTAAGTCTGTTGTGCATGCATAGAAAGGAAGAAATGATAAATGCATAAATATATTACATTCATTCTAAGACATACATTTTTTTCACACTTTATCATCTCTGAATTTGGAATGACCCTTACAAAATATTACATACATATGGCTTTGCTAGAAGTCAACTTATTTAAATAAGGAGAAAAGTGAGTGTGTGGCATTCTTAAAAAATTCCTCCCTGGTGTGTTGTTAACATCATCATAGACTCAAGCCCCTGTGATTAGTAGAATGGATTTATTAATTTGTAACCAGCTTAAAGGTTCTGATTGGAATTTGCCTTAAGCATTAATGAAGTAGTTGGGGATTTGAGTAAGTTGAGTCCTCAGGTTTTATAAAATATCAGAAGTGTAGTTGTGAAGAGAATTAGTAATCTTTGTTTAATATCCACTTAGATTGTCAAATATTTACCTAGTATCTGCAGTTAAACCCTCTTAGGATAGAGATAAGGAAGATAAAATCTTTTAAGTGAAATACCTGACAGCAGACTAGAGGGTTTAAGACACAAACACAAAGAACAATATAATATTTTAAATTATTAAAGCCCACAGAAGAGAGATCACAAAGAAATTTTAAATTTTACTTTATCTACATTTTAACCTTATGTAAATACATTCATTTGAATAAAGAAAAACATTTATTGAGGAACTTTTTTTTAATCAAGTAAGCACTTTCATGGTTATTATTATATTTAATACAAAATCTTCGAACTCATTCAAATCTATGTAGAACCAGCTTTCATAAACTTATAAGGACTGCTCTAGTTAATTTTAAAATGGTTCTCAAGTCATAAAATTTTGAGTCATTAGACTGGATACATTTTCCCAGAGCTTTGTACTGCTTTTAAGTAAAATAACTTAAAGTATGACAAAGCCTTTTATGTTGCTATTTTTGTTTAGTAAAAGCAGTAAAGAATATTTTACTAAAGACCTCAAAGCTCCCTTCTTTTTGGCTTCTTACTCGGATCCAATGTTCAGATTCAATTACATACATAGGGATTAAAACACCGAGTCTGGCTTTGTGAGATGCTTTTCCATGCCCTTGAGGAGGAGCTTTTTTTCTAGTTGTATGGACACCTCATGAAGACATAAATAACAAATCAATATAGATGATAATACAAAATACAACACAATATATCATGGACCTAGTTACCAAAATAGTCAGATGGGTAATATGTTCAAATAAATTCATAGGAGGGGAGAGGATATGAACCAATCATTGAAGAATATGGGTGACCCATTAAGATAGAGGGCATTTTGTAGGAGAATAATGACATACACAGAATCCTGAAAGCCAGAAAGGAAGTTGCACAGAAACTGGCCAAGGCCTGACTATATTTTGACAGCAACTCTCTGGACACTGATGTCATAACCGTGCAGAACTGCTAAACCTATGGTTGCAGAAAAATTAGGTAATATGGTCCATAGTATGTCAGTATGACTTTACAGTGCAGGAAAAGAGCAGAGCACAGTGGTGAGATAGGAAAGTACTACAATAGGCCAAGTGTTCTTGTGGAGAAAGAGTTTGAGTTATCAGTAAACATGATCCCAGGCATGTCAGAGAGAGGGGCAAGTAGGAAGATATATCGATGCAATCCCTGGTCTGGTATGCAGGATTGACAAGGATATTTTAAATATTTTTTTAAAAAAGGAATGTGAGTCAGGAAGGCCTACCCAACATAGGAGAGAAAAACATTGAATTTTCCTTCTGATGAGCTAATGGTAGTTAGGGGAGAAAAATGGAATGTCCAATACGGGGCTGGAGATGTAGGAGTTCAACCCTGGAGAAAAGGCCAAGGTTAAAGATTGTGGAATCATTTAGAAGAGTGATTCTAAACCATGAAAGAGCTTGGCCCAAGACACATTTGGCAATGCTGATAGATGTTTTGGTTGTCACAGCTAAGAAGGATGCTACTGTTGTTGTTAATTAGTCTACAATGCCCAGGACAGCTCCTCACAACAAAGAATTATCTAGACCAAAATATTAATAGTGCCAAGTGTGAGAAAACTTGACATAGAGAAGAAGGATTGCTAAATCCTTCAGAGAATTAGCGCCCAGCAAGGAAGGGCATATAAAATAATCAGTCATTAGGTGAAGGACCACGTTTAAGGGATATCAGTAGGAAGTGGAACAACATGGAATGCAAAGAAACAAAAAGGAGTAACATGAACCAGTGTGGCCACTCATTTATTCAACAAATATTTATTAAACAACTGTTATATATGAGGTACTATGCGCTGGGGCTCCTACACTGTCCTCATGGAGCTTCTGTTCTAGTGGAAACTGACAGTAAGTAAATAATGGAGATAGTGGAAAATACTGTGAAAAAGGCAAAAAATGGGATCCAGTAATAAAGAGGGACTGCAATGGGGGTAGGGATGTGAAGGGCTGAGAACGCTAATAAGATATAGGAACCAGTCCCAACAAAAACAGAAATGAATCTGTCACTGTTTCCAAAGGGCAAAGAGGCTTCAGGGAAGATGAGAAGTGGCAAAGACTGTCAAAAGCTCCAACAGAAGTGTTTTTGCTTTAGTTAATTAAAAGTCTATCTTGACCATTTAAAGCTGCAGTTTTAATAGATAAAAATATAAAAATAAAAAACCAATTCTGAATCGTTTAATCTTTTGTGGGAGAAAAAAATTAGCTTGGGTTTTGGGAGATTTGAAGCAGTACTCTGGGAAACCCCAGCAGGGTACTGTCGGGATGTGTCAACCACTTGCTCTTCTCAACAATTTTCTCCACAAAAATTAGACACCCTCACTCTCCACTCAAAACAACACTGTGATGGAACGCACACGCTAATATTAATCATACCTTTTCTTTCTTTTCTTCCCCAGGCTTCACAAGGCTTGCTGCTCAAGCAGTATCTATTGTAATCAGCAAGTTACCTACGGTGATTGCATGTTTGCCTCCCCCAATTAAATACTTCTTTTTTCTGTCTGAGAGAAAAATGTCAAAAAACTTTGTTGAATTGAAGAAAGCTGGCCTGCTTGTCTGGAACTTGATTGTAATTATATGTCGGATATTTGAGGATGGAAACACTGTGGAACTTTTAACAGGTGCCTTCCTTGACAGATGGAGTAAAGAGAAACTGGGTTTAATCTGCGAGTGTTTGAAAAGCATTGTGGGAGACCAGACAAGTAGTCCTAATCAAATGACCCATAAGGTCACCCAGAACATTGAGCAGCAGAAACCAAACTGGATTGAATGCCAATTGTCGAAAGCAAGGAAACTGAGCACCGAATGGTAAAGTGATGTTTTTCTTTTGCTGCATTTCAACAAATACTTTCATAACAACAAAATTACCAATGAACGGAACAAAATATTGCCTGATAGGCAACAGCAGTCATTTTACTGACTTCATGGGAACTTTGATTAAAAAGAGAAAAAAGATAAATATTCCATTAAAAACTGGATTGTTCGTTGTCCTATTAAAATTTGAACCCTATTGATACAATGGAACATAATACCACTTTAGTCACCATCTAAGGTTTCTGATTAAAAGGAGGGTAGTTAAAGCCAGGAGAATTTGGTTTCACTCCTTTTCAATGTGCAAACAGGTAACTAACTAGTGGATGGCCTAAGGCACTTTGTAAATGGATTGGGCATGGAGATTAAATTAAGAAGGAATTAATGGATATAAAAGGCTTTTTATTGCTTTCTGTGTACCTGATTGTCAAAAAGGTACACATTTTTCATCTGGTAATGTAGGAATCCCAGAGGGCGACTGGGGCATATCACACTCAAGCTATAAACACACCCAGCTGTTTCGGTATGAAAATGTCAGCCTTCTCATAGGTTCACCAAGAGCTGAGTGATTTGTGGTACTGAAAAGATTTTTAAGGGTCCCTGATGAATTTAAATATGTACATAGAGTCGTCCTGCCTTAAAATTAGTCTTCAGTATAGAATTGCATGAATTGATAAAGGAATTACAGTTCAGATGGTGAACAGATCACTGTCAAACCCCCTTTCTTTACACCAGTTATACCCACTGTTCCCCATTATCTATAATATATTCATGTTGCTAGCAGATTCTATTAGAACTACGTGCCTGAAATGACAACAAGTTGTTTGTTGATAGATAGAGCTCAGAATTCAGATTCAGATGGAAAATACTAATCCTTTGTATGACTCATATTGTACAATTTACCCAATCTCTCAAAGCTTCATTTTCAGTGATAATACCAAGTTGACAGAACTATTTTGAAAAATTGACCAAGTTCTGAGCCTTAAGCTAAGAGGAATAAGTATTTGCTATTTGTAAATTTTGTTAAAATGCACTGCACTTCCGATTAGTATTGTAACAACAAATTCTCTGTACTAACTTATAGTATGCTGTCAGATTAGTTTATATTAAAGTGTGAACTGGACATTAATCCACATGGGAAAAGTAAGTAATCATGATTTTCCAGGTCTTATCATACTAACTTCTAGAAACTTACTTCTGGAGTGTTCCATGGTTGGGAATGGCAACAGCAGTCAGGCCATGCTCAGTAGCCTTGACAGTGACCATCTTAATCTTTACATTTGCATGCAATACCAGTTTACAAGCTTGACTCCAATGACTAAAAGATTTAAGTCACTATCCATGCCCGTAGTTATAAAAGGGAGAGAAAAAGAAGAGTAGAAAGAGTAGGTCAAATTATAATTACAAAGTTAAAGTTATGATGCTGCTCATTTAGGAACCCTCTGTCAGTAACAGTTGAAAATAATATAGCAGCACTACATAAGTCACCCATAAGTCATTTTTTTTCTTTTAGAGGTGATTTTATTGTATTTCATAAACTGTACCAACATACCTGGTATCTCCTATAGGAGGGAGTTGTTTCAGTAACATGTGACTGATTTGTTGTTACAACATACACCCAATATGAAAAAAAAAATTCCTGATTTTTTAAAAATGCTTTACAACCCTCTAAGGCTCTGAGTATATATTAAATATATACACAATGTAGTGTCTTTCTCAATTTCTCCAATGGCGTAAATATACAAAAGTGCTATTCTAAAGTTTTTTATTGCATTTATTTTTGAAAAGGAGTTACATTTGATTTATCAGCTCACTTAAGGTAATCTCTTATAAGATTTGGTCACTTTAGAAATTTTTCTTTACTATCATTTCAATTTGATTATCTATTATACAAATCAGCTTCCACCTGTATGTATTTCTCACAAATTTTTTATCACTTACTTCATAGATGTATATCATGAGGAAAATGTATTTCAAATCACATTGTTTGGAGGGTTGCCTTGGCTTGCCATACTTTTTTTCAAGTGTGAGAATGTAAGCATTTCCATATAGCTCTTCTGATAAGATAAATGAAATCTTAATTCCCCATGAAGATTATCTTGGAATACACAATATCATTTAGCTACATTTCTTTCACTTGTCTCCCAATTTGACTTTGATTTTATGGAAATTGTGAAAATAACTGCAGTGGAAAGGTGACAGCTGTAAGCATTGCTTGTCTTGCATACTGCCTGGAAGCATTACTATTCATTAAAATAACCTTCACTTTGTAGTAACACTCAAGCTGTAAACAGTCAACTTAGATTCTGGAGAACACACAGCCCCAAAAGTAAAGCAATGTCTGTCTTTGCAAAGTAATTTGTCGAGTTGAAGATTATTGTTTTTCATCATGGTGACCCTGACTTGGCTGGCTGGGTGCATATACAGATTAAGATTAATGCAGTTATTCCTTGGCTAAGGTCTGCCTCTTTCAGGGCACATTCTCCCTAATGACATGATTGATAGGCAGTCCCAAATCCAGAGAGGAACTCATTAATCATAGCATTGACTGAATCCAATCATTTGCTTCACCTGCACAGTGATGGACAGGAAAGGATACAATTCAGAGGCTGACACTGAGACACTCCTTTGTCAGAGAACCTCAACTTTTTCAATGTCAGCAACCTGACAAGAAATTTTGCTTGCAACCTGTATGTAACTTCAAAAAGATATTTGCAAACTTCTTTTATTTCAACAATGTCTTTTTTTTTTCCTTAAAGAGTATTCTAGCTAATGACTATCTCCAAGAATAGTATTTGTTGTGTGTGTGTGTGTGTGTGTATATATATATATATATATATATATATATATATATATAGGGAAGACTTATAGTATCCTAAAATTCTTTTTTTAAAGAAGGATTTTTGAAGCTACATGTGGAAGTAATATAAAAGTTAATGTCCAGCAGCTGGGTATCATTTGGTTCAGTCTTCAGGTCAGTGGCACTGACTCTTAGCAGAACTAATTTTATAATCATGGCAAAATCTCAGTAATGAACTGCAGTATATAGCTGATTACACCACAGCAAATTTCATTTCATCTGGGAAACAGTGGAAAACCATTTATTTTCTTAAGAATACTTAGATTGCAAAAACTAACATTGTCCTCATAACAATTGTAATGAAAAACTTTATAAGGTATATATAAGGTGTATGTTGAATTTCTTTTTCTTTTTTACACTGGTATAGTTTGAGATTTTTTAATACGTCATCCCTGATAACCATACCAATAATGTTTAATATCAATAATAGGTATATGAATTCATATAAAAGAAATGTCTCACAAATATAATTAATGGGGTGCTAATCTACCTTCTTTTCCTGGAGGAGTGACCGTCGTGTCTTTACCATGAAGAGACAGGGGTATATGTGTTTAAAAAGCAACAAGTGTCGAGGCCAATATAAAATGCCCATTGGTGAACTCACCACCAGAAAGGACTCAGTGTATAGTCACCCCCTTTTGACACTTTAACTAATCTTTCCTATGTTCTAAGAGAGTTGTAAAGAGGAATCCAGAAAAGACAGAATACCAAGCTATTTCTGACATTCAAGATATTTCTCCTCCATAAAGAGAAAATACAAATAATTCCTTACATGTTCTTAAAAAGAAATGTTTTGTTTTCATCCCCTGATTATAGCAATTTCAACAATTTCAGTAATGGGAAAATGTTTTATAGATAGGAGTATAAATGCAATAAAGAAATGTGTTAAAAGAAGCAATTCAATTTTTAAAAATGCTTTCAGGTGCTTAGTTCTAAGGCACTGTTGATGCGTGCAGCAGCGGTTTGGCGAGGCTGCCTGTTTGAGCGAAGTCTTTATGGTTGCTTTGAATGTGAGATTTACATCCAGTCTGCACACTCAATCTCTTTGATTATTTTCCATATTTACAGTTTTTCACCACTGATACTTCTGTGCTTTCTTTGCATTTAGTGCATTTATGGCAAGAGAGAAAAGCACAGCCTCAGAAGAAGGAGATACTGCTCTTGAACTGACTGAGCAGAAAATAAACATGATGGTCCTGGATATCTGCCACAAACCAGGTGGCAGCGAGTACCTGAGGCAAATTTATCACATCATGCGGCTCAATGAGGTAGGGAAAAGGCCTTTTTACCGAGCAATTAGGTGTGTACTGGCCTGAGGCAGCGTCTGCTGGCAGCTAAGGGTTAGTCAAGGAGGTGATAATACTTCTTAAAGTCAATACCAAACTCAATATTGCATTATTAATAGAATCTATTCAGCCCAGGCTGTTCTGCATTTGTACAGCAAAGGCTTCACTGAAACAATGTAGGTTTTATTTATATGGTTTTAAACAGTAACACAGCTCATAAACTCAGTTTAGTTCTGAATTGTATAGACTAAAGGTGTAGCTTGGGAATTGTGTGTTTGTGGCCATTATGTTGATGTTAAAGTCTTGTGTTTGTGAAATGAAGAATTTTCTAAAGAGAGCTGTAGTTCTTCTGGAGACAGCCTACTTGTGTTGATGAAGTTGGAGGTTTCTTATACAATGAAAAAACTTGAGAAGAATATTGAAATATATTCTGCAGCAAGGAAATTAACCCAAGAAGGTGCATGAATGCATGGACACTGGATAGCACTTCGGTGTGCTTGTTCCCTTTACTCTGGGTTAAGCCTGTGGTCTTGCATGTTGCTGGCTATTGAAGGAAAAATATAAAAAACTGGAATGTATTTCAGTTCTTTACTTGAAACAATCTGTTTGCTTAGCCAAGTTTTAAATTTCATTGTATGTATCTGAAATAGAATGTCACATCTATGAATAAGAATTACATTTATATTTGCAAACATGCGTGTATTTTTGAATAGTAAAAATTACATAATAATGAATAAGGTGAACCTATAGTTTTTATCTCTGTGAGAGAGATCTTAAAAACCTTAAGTTTCTAGGGAGTGAATTCTAGCATAGCCTATTATAATTCACTTCTTATGTGCAATATATATAAATATATTTCCCACTATTAAGTGAAATTAACACAAATTAAATTGGATATTTAGTGGTGGTTAGTCACCTGCTAGGTTCAGGAAGTCCAGAGACACATTTCCCTTCTAGAAATATGGAACTTGGAGGTAGTGGTTCTGAACATGTGTGCTATGGTATCTTCTGTCATTAGACTCCATTACATTTTGATCAATTAAGTCCAAAGGCGTGATTTTTCTTTAACTACAATCGACTGTGCTTACTGTTATGGCAATGTCTATCAGATGCTGTGTCAAGCTTGGTAGTTTATTGTGCTGAGTGATGGAGCTACAAGATAAGGGACTGTTGTGCCAGCAAGCACAGGACAGGTTGACATCGGTTGGGGTAGATTGATAAAGAAAATCATGGAGCCCTCAGTGGACTTTTCAGACTTTAATGCTCTCAGAGAGTCAGGTACTCAGGCACACTTTGCTAGGCTGGCATTCAAGGAGGCAGGCGTGCACCAGGCAGGGGTTAAGCTGGGAGGCAGTTAGACAAGGAGTCTACCAGTCTGCCCCTCCCCCCTCAATTACCTTTATCTCTTTTGCTGGGCTTTTTCTGGTGTTCTCTCTAACTCATCATCTCTGGTCATGCCAGTTGTCCCCTCCATAGCTTGTAGCTGGTCTCTAGGCTCAGGTGTGCACACTCACATATACATGCACACCACGCTCCAGGTGTCCATAATAAGACATGTATGCCCCGCACCCATGCTCCCAAGTACCACTGCTAGGCCATGGCATTGACCTCAGAAGCTGCTTGTGGGTATTTTACCACCCCCCACCAGTGCCCCAGTGGAGCTAAGGCAGCAGGCAGAGGCCAGCAGTGGTGGCTGAAGGCAGGTGGTTCTTCTACCAGACTGCACCAAGGCATAGGGCCCCAGTGGGTCATTTCCCCCAACTGCAGTCAATAGAGAGGCCTGTGGATTTGATGCCTGGAGCATAGAATGCACCCACCAGATAAGCACTATGAGCTGATTGGTAGGTTCAATCAGTCATAGGCTTGAAGATGGTCCAATCAGAATTGTAGGCGAGGGATTGGGGGATGCGTCTGAAAGAGCATTTAAGGCAGGGCAGGCACCTTTTGAGTCTTGGTTCCTGGCTTTAGAAGAGAGATGCGCCAACTCTCAGACTCTCACAGAACTTTGTTCCTGACTTCAAAAGAAGAAAGGTGCACCTAGAAGCTGACTTGCAAAGAAAGAAAAGAAGCTGAAGAGATTGGCAGAGACTGGGGCCTGCCTACTTTAGCCCTGCCTCTGAAATTACCTGGAAGTAGCGCCAAAGGCCCTGGGTCTGGTGTCTCAAAGAGCTGTTTGTTGTTGGTGAGGGTCAATAACTTACAAAGAACTGTATCATGGCGTGTCTTACACTGCCCCCTAATAATCAGCACTACTGGCCAGTGCTGCTCAGCACTGTTGATGGATGACCACTCTGTTGTCTGGTCACCTCTGAGAAGTGTCACTTGTCAGATATTGCCTCCCGGTGCTGCTGCCTCCATCGTTGTCCCATCCGGCATCCAGTGGTCCAGTGCTGGCCGCCCGACCCTCTGACTGTTGCTGTGGGTTGGTTTGCAGTCATCTCAGTGGCCCCCGCCTGTAAGTGCCTCCAGCTGCCTGTAAGCTCCAGCCCTCATCCATAGGACAGTGCCACCTTGGATGAGTGGCCTTTTGGAGGCAACTTTTGGCACTGTGAACTCTATCTGGGGTGAGATATCTGGCTACTTGTGGCCTTAAGAACGCTCCCATTTTAAAAATAAATCCGTCAATTGCTATTCCCTGGTTTGGCTGTTGTGCACAGGTGAGAACCCACAGATATACCTAATTTCCACCTGGTTACAGGCTTTTGAGTCACTATAGCACCCCTATAACCCATTTCAAAGTTATAGTGTGATGCTTGTTCCGTTGGTGAATAGCACTTAGTTTTTAGCAGCTTGAGGTGTTTTGCTAAGTACAGTAGATCCTTGAACAACTGGGAAGCCAGTTGGTTGAATACCTGAATGTAGGAACAGTTCATGCAGGGAGGGGATAACTGTAAATTATAGGTGGGTTTTCAACTGTTAAATTCAAGGATGCCCATAATTTCCATGTTGTTCAAGGCATTTAAAATACAGAGAAGGAAGGGCTTACTGCTACAATCCTAAGTGAGGGGGGAAAATGGGTATGCTATTTACAGAAGGCAAAGTTATGACACAAAATTAATTTTAAACTATTTATCTTTGAGGATCAGATAAAACCAAGCCAATAACAAATCTTAGAAACCTGGCAATAAAATTGAGGTAACCAGAATGGGGGAAAGTGGGGAGAACAAAATGAGAAGAGGACTCAATGGACTATGGTGAAGGACTGTGTGCACCTTGGTGAAAGGTGTGGAGCGGGGACATATATCTGAAGTATGTTGTAATTCCTTTCCAGTTTTTGTCTCAATTAAAAAAAAAATGAGATAAAGGTAAGGTATATGAGCATAAAAGTCCAACTTACAGTTGAAGGTGCTGGACATGAGCACAGATGAGTAAAGTCATGATTATAGGTTGTGGGCTTCAGTGAGTGAGACCGTGAGCTTGTCAATGAAGAAAAAGAGAAAAACTGAGTAAGGAAAGAAACTTGTGTTTACACAGGGAAGATATTCCAGGTAGGATGCTCAAAGGATAAAGAAATATACTAGGTAAGCAGTAATCTGATTAGTTAGTAACCAATATCACGGAAAACCTGAGGCTTTTAATTTTTTTTAAAGATTTATTTATTTATTCATACAGAACTGGGGTACAGGCCAGAGATGCGAAGGGTGAGAGGATTCACCAGGAACAGAGTGGGGAGCAGAACAGACAGATCAACGAAGGACACTGCTGAGGGGAGCAGCGGGCGGGTCAGGAGAGGTCTGCCACGCCATGTGGATCTCCTCTGAGGCAGGCGGGGATCGAACTCATGCGGAATTGGCTTAAGCTTCTTAGTGCAGTGCTTTCACCCGCTGCACCACCAGGGAGGGCCAATTTAATTTTTTAAAGATTTATTTTTGCATAGAAGTACTGAAGTGTAGGCCAGAGGTGCAGGGGGTGAGAGGATGCACCAGAGACAGTGTAAGGAGCAGGACAGGCAGATCTACTGACATCCACTGCTGAGGGGAGCAGTGGGCGGGTCAGGAGAGGTCTGCTGCACCATGTGGGTCAGCGCCCTAGCCAGCCAGGGATGAAACTCAGGCCCTTGTAGTGACAGCACTGAGACTTACTCCGTATACCACCAAGGAGGCCCCAACCTGAGGCTTTTAAGAAAAGGGGGGAAACAAGTATGTAGCAGAGAGTCAGAGAAATTAACAAGGGAGAAAATACCATTGTATTAACTACCTGAACAGACACTTTTCTCCTTTAAATTGTGGGGACAAAAGAATCAAAATATATCCAATAAGGGGAAAGTCAGTGAGAAAAGATGTTGTCTAAAATAAAGCATTTTTTTATGAATGTACATTATTTTTTAAGATTTTACTTTCAGAAATAATGATAATTTTTGTTTCTGTTCAAAAATCGAAATCCAGGCATATTTTCTAATGACTTTGTCATTGTCTGATATTTAATGTGCACATTTGTGTAGGAGAGAGAGAGAGAACAGAGTTTCCCTTTCCAAAGAGCAATGAGCTCTTTAGAACTTTTTTCATGAGGGGCAAGTTTGAGAAATGACTGTTGTTGGGAAGTAGTGATTTTCCTACATCCAAAGAACCTTAGGATCTGAAATTTGCTTTCAAAGGTGAATAGTGAGCATTTCTATTTATGCTGTTAGAGAGGCATAGGGAAAGCACAGTGATCTGGGCCCAGCTCTATTGTTTCTTGCCCAGATTCTACAGCTTACCCCAGCATGACCTTAGATTGGTGCCTCCACCTGTTAGAGTCAACCGTTGTAATGTGGTGTGGGGTAGAGCTTCTCAAACTTCCACATGCCTAGCAATCTCTTTGTTAAAAAGAAGATTATGATTTGGTGAGGTTTGAGATTCTGCGAGTCTAACAAGATCCCGGGTGAGGCAGTTTCAATTGGTCAATGCTGTAGACTTTGAGTAGCAAGAATATCCCAGATGACCTCCAAAGGCCTGGTTAGTTTCAATCTTTTGAATTTAGTCATTGAGTCCTAACTGTAACTTAGAAGACTATATTATGACAATCTAAAAGCCAAGAGGATACTTATCTAGTTTTACTTTAAAAGGATGGCATGTTTATTAAAAGTAGGCATTTGATAACTTGGAAAACATTCATCATCTCAATTTGTTGTCTTTCAGAAAGACTACTATAAAAATAGCTTTGAATTGTTTACCGTATTTTTTTTTTTTTTGTGGGTAGATTGGTGTTTTTGCCTAGGCTGCCAATGGAGAATTCAAATGACATATTTTGAGTTTCTAGTCAACCTTGATATTTTTCAGTCCACAACATGAAAATTGAATTTGGGAGCTTGTGTTATAATTAATTCTACATAGAGTGAAGCTGCGTACAGTGAAATATCAAAGTACTTTGCGCTCTGCTGAGTACAGAGTAGGTAGCAACTACACATAATGAATGAATGAGCAATCTTCTACTGTGAATAATCATGCACCTGAGTTAAGTGTTGGTAACCAGACATGTTAACACATGAACCAGTAACAGGACAATGCTTATTAAAAAGATTCTCACATACCCAGCATACATTCATTATGTAAGTGTTTGTAAGTGGTTTTCTAATCTATCCTATATATTAGGTGAACCTGTTTGTGATGGGTTTATTGCAATCCTGATTGGTACTTTGCTATGTTTCTTCTGAAAATGTATTCTGTCCCGAGGCAAGTAATACACTGTAATCTAGCAAATGTGCTGAAAGGGTAGATTTTGATATTGATCAGCTTATTTTTAAAGAGAATATATGCTTCTCACCATCATGACTTGTAATTTTTTTTTCCTTGAAGGAGTATTTAAAAGAGCAGCTGTTTTCTATGAGTGGTTCAGAGGGAAAGCTATTACCCATCAGACCTTTAAATATGACCTTGAGGAGTGTGGAGGATCAGCCTTCTTCCTTTAACCCTTTCCATGTGTACAAGGTGTTCAGTGAAAACATGCTCGATCAGGTATGTGGAAATTAAATGGTAAATTTAATTTAAATGTATTTCTTTATACAAGTAAGATAAAGGCTTGTTCTTGTTTGTATGGTTTGCACAAATTGACTTTGAAAGTTATTTTACCTTCTTTCTATTTGTCAAACTGATTCATATGTTTGGTCTGCAAAATTTAACTTTTGACCTGGTCAGTTCATCGTGGCAGAGGGAACATCTGTTAGGCTATGTCTACAGAAGGCCTGAAGTACCAGGCATTTCATAACAATCCTCCCCTCCTTGCCAGAACTCAGCCGCCCAATATGCAAACTCACAAAACACCTTGCAATCTTTGACTATTTAATTTTTGAGGTAAATTGTAAAATCATTTAAAGTATTTCTAAGTAGTGCATGGAGTTCCTATTGTAAGTGGCATGAGATAAATTTGCTTTTTTACCACCCAAAAAACATTCCTGAATTTTAATGAATTTGCTCCTCATATTAAAGTCAGGATATTTGGAATAAAGTCAGAGTGATAAATACCACACATTTTTTAATGTCAGATTATGCCATTGTTTAAGGTGCATGTTTCAGTGGTTGCATTCAAAAGATCATCTTTATTTCAAACTATTTAAAATCTAAAGTTGCAGTGCCTTTTCCTGGATGGCTCTCGACAGCCTATTTGAAGTAACTGGAGAGAAGAAAAGAATTGCCTGACCTAGAGTGCTAAGGAAAATAAGAATTAAAACAATGGCCTAATTGGGGATGCAGATAATATTTTACCATGCCTGTTAAGGCTCTCGTCTACATTCATCAATACTGTGGTAGAATAAGACCTTCAAAGACTGACAATCCTAGGCAGAATTCTCCTGTTCTATGACAAGATTTTAGTGCCCCATTAATCAGCGGGTGACAGGACATAGTTCTTGTTGGCTTTTAAACATCAGCCTGGACTCTTATTATTAAAATTATTTGGTTTTAAGAAACATGAACTTCTATAACACTTTAAAACTAGATCTGTTTTTAAGTTTGAGTTTATTGGCTGCTTTTCTGTGTTGTACAGAGTGCTCCAAACCATAAATAATCATTATAGCTGTTAAATTATCCTCACTTCATTTAAATAAATGGCATGTTTTATTCAGTTCTGAATTATGAGATTATCTTTCACAGCAATTTTTCTCCTTAATCTGTTGTGAAATTATCTATTCAATAAGAAAAAAAAGAATCATTTATAGTATTTACATTTATAGGTCTTTATATTTTCTTTAAAGCCTCCTCTTAGCCAGAATAATAACATTAATATCACACTCAAAGTTAAGCTGCATCTTATAATCTGGGTCATAGCACTTACAAATTTGCTTCTTTTTAGAGTCAAGCTTCAGGGCACTAAAAAAATACTGTAACTTGGTATGATATATGAAAAAAGTAGCCAATTATTTTTACTTTTCAAAGAATTAGTCTCTCAGAGAAACTTGTTGGGCAAATGCCATTAATACTCAGAAGAATAACGACTCAAGAAATTGATTTATATTTTTATAAATAATGACTACATCCCCAAATGGATTTAAAAATTAATTGCTGTCTTATTGTAATAAAAACCTTCTTCTATGGACATGATTGATGTTATCTGTCTAAGTCCTTGTTCTGGACCCCCCTCCTTCTTAGTTAGTCTATCACAGCTGGAGCTTTAATTTACTGATCATATTAATTCTGATTAATAACTAACAATAGTGTGTTCTCATTTATCAACAGTCAGCCATCACAAAATGGAACTGGAATTGGTCAGACTTGTTGCCAAATTATCTAGGACTGGACAAGATGACCTTCAGTGTACTGCTGAAAAACAGGTAATAAGACTGGGGGTTCGGGGGGAATATTTGAAAAAAATTCTAAATTATATGAAATATATTTCCTAATAATTTTTCATAGTAAGCATTTGCAAGAGGTTTTGAGATGAAATTAGTTGATTTTAATCTGAATTTTAAGTATTTTTGACCTTGTGTATATAACAGTTCAGCATTACAAATACTAAAATTCATTGATGAATATCATAATACTGTGCCTCTGTTTACAGCAATTTAATGAATTGCATACAAAATACCAAGCCATATCAACTCGACTAATCAGGGGAAACATAAATGAAACTGTTGTGATTGAATTTTTTGCTTTTCAGCCAGTTATTTTGGCACTTTCCTGCCATAACCTCAGTTGTATGTTATTTTACACACACACTCCAACACAATCCAATAAAATAATAATGTGATTCAGTTTAAGAATTTAGCACATGTGGTTTATTTTGCACAATTTATTTTCTGTATCTATTGTTTTTAAACATAATTTTAAAGATTTCAGTGACTATTATAAGGTATAAACTTAAAAAGCTGAATGTTTCTCTCAAGTATATTTTCACATAAGATAAATATGTATGAGACTCCTATTGCTCAAGTATCATGTTTTCTTATAACTAAATACGAGAATGATCTATATTATACTAATGATGTAGATTGTATTTCATATCTTGAAAGTAACAAGATATGAACAAGATGTTTTTTCCAGAACAAAAAAACAATAATAGCATGACACTGTAGAAATTGTCAAGTCATCCCTGGGAAATATGAGGCTATGTAAGAAAATGTCTGGAGAAAGATAGAGAGAGATTCTAGTGTTTCCCAAATAAAGGTTTAAAAAATCAGCTTTTTAACCAGTGAGAGCTGTAGCTTAGCTGTGTGGTCACAGATGTTTTCCTAATAGTTCATTTTCCTTACCTGAAATACATCGTCCCATTACGGACAAAGTAGAACAGTTCGAAAGCTTCCCCATCAAGGACAGAGGTATCTCCCAACAAACTTGTCTGCTGACAGGTGGTCATCTGGAATTGTACCCTATTTCATACATAAGTCCTTCAAGACACTCCTATCATTTGCCCCAGTGTTGCTTGGAGAGATAGGAAGTGGAAGTACTTACAGGAGAAACCAGATCTGTTGAACCTATGGTTACATGATATTATTAAATTTCCACTTGGAAACAAAAGAAAAGATGTTATATTATTATTTGGAAAGTTTTAAATTTGTGTAAATTAATTTTTTTTTCCCCAGCTATAAATGCTTCCCATAACTAAGTGGGCAACAGATCCTTCTGGGGGCAACAGATCCTTCAAAACATTGGATTTGCTCTGTATAATATTCACTATTGAGTGAAATGTGTTTTAACCGATATTACAAACTTATTTTTGTTTATTTCCCTGAGTTATGTATAGGAGTGAGTAGGAGAAAAGAACTCCCACAAATTTAGTCAGAGTAACAGGTCAAAACAGTTCTTCTATAAAAGGATCATGAATTTTTAATAGAAACAGCTAGAATCTCATCTTAAGAACCTTAGATTTTTACAGAATGGTATGAAGAGCATTCTGCTCCAAACTACCACAAACCACAGGCTGTAGCTAACATAATTGATCTATCTTAGAAGGATGAAAGACATCTGAGAGCCTTAATCTCTCTAGTACTTTCCATTTATTTTAAGAATGCTATTTATGAAACTTGGTTAATATTGAACTGGTAAGGGAGATATTTCTGTTGTTTTCTCTAAGACACTCGTTATCTGAAAAATGCTGATTTTTTTAAATAGTGCTTTGAATTTCTAAGAACAAAGTTATCTGAAAAAACACACTTAATTATGAGAACACAGAACATTGAGCTTTTAGGATAAGAGTATATACATACATCTAGCTCCACAAGGTGATACTCCTACCTATACCCATGATCTTAGAGGGTAGTCAGTCAAAGAAAAAAAATTCAGAACAGCTCAGTTGAATATGTGCATTTATTTTTTTTTCCTAAGCCACCAATTTAACAAGTTACTTGTCCTCTTTTTTTTTTCACCTTAATTGGTAATAGACTAATATCTGTACTAGTGCAGATATAGGGCTATGATGTGAGGCCATAACATCGGGAAGAGGAGTGAACTCAAATATACAATATGAAACAATTTCAGAGACAGGAATCCTTTCTACTTACCTCCTAAATTTCTCTTTGCCTGTTTAATTCAGTGGAATTAGCAGACCATCTGTGGACTTTCTCTCTCAAGATTCAGAGGCTTATAATGACCCATACTCCCTCCGCTCCAAATAGGATGGAGGTGAAAAGCAGAATTCTTGGCGTTACAAGCCAGTTCTGCTGAGAACTTGGATTTCTTCATCTTTAAAATGAAATAGTGATAAATATGTATCTATTTCATGGAGACTGTTGACAAAATGAAGTGAATTCAAAGATACCAAAGTGTTTTTGAAAGTTGAAAGAATAAACATACTTAGAAAATAGTAGCACCAGCACATAGCAGCAGCATTAGTCTGTGTTTAGGTGTGGAAAGATAAGGTCATCAAGGACTAGCAGAGTTGGGGAGTGAGATAAAGCAGTCATTATCTCATATATTATTTATTATTATTTACCACGAGTGTGTAAATTCCAGACCTACACCTATAATGAGGTTCAGAATAACTATCAGTTGATAGGCCAAGAGATGGACTCATTGGTTTGAAAAGAGTGGGGGAAAATGGAGCGAGGAGGAGGGTCTAAAGGCCACATGAGTAGTCACTCAGGAGATAAAGTCTCAAAAGATGAGTGTTTGGTGGGTAGTTTAGACACTTAACAGCAGAGATTTAAGACTCCTTATTTAGGACAACACTCACTTTTGTTCCATGATTTGACTCTGTATTGAGTTCAAAGGTAGAACAGATCTTGAAGTGATTGCCAAAGTCCTTGGCATAAATGTGTTGTCTGCTCACTATAAGATCTCCTCTCCAAACATCTCCCCCCAGTTCCTGATGTTCTAAGTTTGTTGCCCTCTTTCTGTTCTTTGAATTCTCCAAGCTCTTTCCCAGTGTCTTTGCACTTGCAGTTCCCTCAGCTTTTCTCTTGGCCAGTGTCATCTTGTCCATGAGGCCCCAGGTTACTCTAAGTTTAGGGAGGTCTTACCCTTCCAAGGGACCCTCAAGGTCACCCAAACATTCTAGTCTTTTTTATTTGAGTTATAATATATCATTTGAAATTTTAGTGTCTGTTTGTTGTCTCTTAATCTAGTTCCTGCTCCACTCCACAGTAGAATACACCTGTGAAAATAGCACCTTAGCTGTATTAGTCCAGCTGTGTCTTCAGAATCCAGAACAATCCTTGAACACATAGCAGGCTCTGGGTGGTCTGTATCAAGTTATAATAACCAACACATGAAGACTTAGAATGCAGAAGAAAAGTCTGTTCCTGACAGATGAGTAGGAATTAGGCTTTCTCTCAAGATGTTTGATTAGTACTAATTTTTGCAAAATCTCAAGAAAAATTTATATGCATATTCTATTCACTTCCAAATTTGGATGACAATCAGGATAACTGAATTCTGTTTTCATATTCTGTGGTGTTTGGCTCAGATTAACATATAGACCACCATTCTTTATTTTAAGCTAATTTATGAAAATTCATCTCACAACCTCTTCAGCAACAAAGACTGTTTTTGACTCCACCAGTTGAGAAGTCATTGACTTTTGGGTGATAGAATTTGTGTTTCTTACATGATACTTAAAATAATTCAACCAAGCCTTTGCAAATTAATTACTTGTGATGTTCCAGATATTTGAAGAAATGTGTTATATCTGAAACTTCAGAAAAGAGGTTTCATATATGTATATATTATGATACATTTTTTAATTTAGTAAGTTTGCTGTTGTAGGAAAAAGACTCTTTAAATGTTCAGAAAAATTAGCACATATATCAGTTCTCCATCTTTACCTTTAATGCTATGTAAGTACAGTGATTGTGCATTGATCTTTTGAAATAATAAAAGTACTTTTCACTGTTTCTTACTATTAGCTTCTTGCCTTCTTTCTCATCTACTTTAAAATAAATGTGGTGTAGGGAATGAGATAGTGATTGCATTTGCAGAAGAGTTCACCAAAAGGAACTTTCTATAGTCCTTCATTCATGGCGAATCTCCAGATTGCCATTTTGATATTGTTTTCTTTGTCACTGGAGCAAATTTATGTGGCTCCTTTTCTCTTTACCTTATTTGTTCAAGACTAATTTCCAAGAATTGTGGTGTTGAAAGTAATCTGTGAATACAGTGGAATGCTATGCTATTTTAACCATCTAAATATACTGCATATGAGTTTGGCTTCGAGTTGAGCAAACACAATTAAATATGATGGCAGGAACAGCAGAAGGGGTGGTGGTGGCAGATTTCTGGCGATCACTTTGGGGCCTTTCCAGGTGGACAATAACCATATATCTGAGAGGAAACAGATTAGAAAGCGTGTTTTAAAAGAGCTGTTATCTGTGACATTGATTGTTTGCTTTTAATAATAATAATAATAATTACCATTAAAGTATCTTTAGACTGATGCAGATTATAGTGTGTGTGCGCCTTGTGTGTGAAGAGTAGAAAATATTGTCTCTGGCCTTTAACTGCACACGCTGCTCTCTCCAATGGTCGTTCTCAGGCAGTGCTGCCGTTAGCACAATGTTTATACTTGTTCACAGCAGTAAATTTCTGATGCAGCAGCAGGATGCCTGGTTATAGAGAAGTGGGCTTAAGAAAAAGGGGAATATGATTTTATGAGTACATACCTCTGAACCATTACATACATTATGTGTGCCTTCACAATGAAAATTTGGGGTTTTTCCCCCCATACTTTAGTTCCCTAGAAACCTTCCCTTTTCCTCCACCTAAAGACCTCAGATTCAGTAAGCCTATCTACCAAACCCACCTTCTCAAATACGATGGTTTCCCTTGCCATCCTTACACCCTAAAGCAGGATTTTTTTTATAGACATTATTTGTTACATTTAGGATGTAAAAATTTAGTA